GTGTGTTTGTGTGTGTGTGTGTGTGAGTGTGAGAGTGTGTGTGTGTGTGAGAGTGAGTGAGAGTGTGTGAGAGTGTGTGTGTGTGTGTGTGTGTGTGAGTGTTTGTTTATAATACTTCATCTTCTGGTAATGGGCTGCTAAGGGTATTATGTGCACAAGTAATTGCATTTCTTCAAACAAAATGTTTTTCCAACAAAGGTAGTAAAATAATCATTAATGGAAGCATTAAAGAATCCCTTATGATTCCCATCCTTGTTTATAGTACCTGGCAGTGAAGCATCTATTAGTGTGATGTTATGTTAACATCTTAACTAATTGTTAATTAACAGCATTTATCTTGGGTCTACTCTTGTCCTGTCAGTCCAAAGTTTTCTGAAGTCTTTGTGCAGCGGTTGAGAATCGTAACCCATCACAGACGTGTGTGTTGTGTGTACGATGAATGCATTGCTGAATAATGTTCCTTTAAACTAATCTCTCGGCCTATCACTAATCACAGCTGGACATGATGAGTTTTAAGCAGATTGATCCACAGATGCATGTTTAATTGCAAAGGGATTGTTGTAGTTTTGTTATGCTGCGTCTAATTTGCTGTGTTTAATTTATGCAAAATGTCAATAGCAACAGTAAATTGAGCTTACTGGTATCTTTGTTGTTATTCTTTTTAATTCATTAATTTGTAAGGATAATGTGCAACAAATGAATGCAGATTGAGGGAAATTAAGTTTTAATATTGAACCCCATTAGTGAAGTCTTAATTACATCAGTGTTTAAAGATGCAGATCTGTAATCCAAATTGTGACCACAAGCAAAGAATCAAGCTGAAAAAGCTTTTAGCTTTAGTTAAAAAATACTTATTTAAAAAACAAAACAAAACTTTTATTCATCAAGGATGCATTAAATTGATCAAAATTGAGAGTAAAGACATTTATAATGTTACAAAAGATTTCCATTTCAAATAAATGCTGTTCTTTTGAACTTTCTATTCATCTGTGAATAAATATTACTGTAGAAAGCTCGTGCTACTTGGTGATCTGACAGCAGTGATTCATAATTATATCTGAAAAATAAAATGCTGTCAGTAGGTAGCAGATAAGATGTCATTCATTCTTTGTGGTAAATATCATACTTTATTGTGCTTCCAATGTTCCAAAAGGCTTTTTACAAGCACAGATTGTCTTTAAAGTGGTTCTTTTCTAGAAAAGTATGATATATCACATATATATTGCCCCGTATTAGATTTTTTTTTATTTGTCTGTATCTTATCAGTCAATATTAGTTAGTTAAAGGGTTAGTTTACCCAAAAATGAAAATTAGGCTGTGTTTTACTCACCCCCGAGGCATCCTAGGTGTATATGACTTTCTTCTTTCAGACGAATCCAGTCGGAGTTATTGAACAAAGGCCTTCTGTAGCGAATCGATGCGTTTTTGTAAGAAAAATATCCATATTCAAAACGTAATAATCACTTTAATGTAGCTTGCGCCAACAGTTGTACACAGAAGCAGCTCCGGGAGCATGACGCCGCTCAGAAGTGACGAACGCGGAAGACAATTTTTTTTCAAAGACAATTTTTAATATAACTCCGACAGGATTCGTCTGAAAGAAGAAAGTCATATACACCTAGGATGCCTCGGGGGTGAGTAATTTATGGGCTAATTTTCATTTTTGGGTGAACTAACCCTTTAAGTTGGATATTTAAAAAGTTTTTTCTCATTTCCCCTATCTTTGAATGCTCGCTTAATATTTTAAAAACACTAATATTTAATAACACTAATAAATGTAATCAAGATGTAAACAACATCAGAATTTATTTATTTATTTATTTTATTTTTTATTATTTTTATTATTTATTTTTTCAAACTGTCAACCATGCAAAAGTTATCTGGAATCCCGCAGTGAAACCTAGAGGAATTTTTGGAGGACATTTAAATATTAGAAGTCTTATTTTGAAATGTGACGAAATTAGAACTTTGCTAACTGGATCTAATCTTGATTTCTTATGTTTAAGCGAAACATGGTTACACGATGATATTTTAACTATGATGGTTGATATTCCTGGATATATGTGTTTTAGAAAAGATAGAGTTACAGGTAGAGGTGGTGGTGTATTAATATACATTAAGGATTCAAAGGTGTAAAATTTTGGAATTCATTGCCTGACTATTTAAAATCTGCTGTAAATTTTAATTTTTTTAAGAAGGCCACGAAATCTTGGTTGATACATCAACAAACCTGTAGTCATGTTTAGTGTATTTATATTATAAATTTGTGCATTACTTGTTTATTTTAATTTATAAAAGCCCTCCTAGGGACAAGTGTTGCAAATTAGCTTCGGCTACAAGCACTATGGTACATGCATGGGATGATTGTTTTTTACATTTTCATCTATGTTTATTGTATCTGTCCCTAAAAAAAAAAAATCTTTGTTAAATCTTAAAATGAATATCCCTTTTGATATAATGCTGTGACGCCTGAATTCTCTTGTTGTATTTAAAACAATTCAATTTAGCTTTTAGTGTTTTATTGATTATAGCATGACAGTAATGATTTGCTTGTTGGTATTGGTCAGGATTTTAAGATTGGTGCATCTTTATTCTGTTGCGTGAATGAGTAATTTTGAGCTATCTGTGTCAATATTTCAAATCTTCTTGGCTGCATTGAAAGGTTGGTCCAAAATATGGTTCCTTTGAGTGAAAAATCAACCTTTTAAAGCCATTCCAGAGCAACTGCATAGATATTAAGATGTTTTGATATTGATGTTTGGGTTTTTGTGTCATAAAGCAGCCTGGCATACCTGAGAACCCTGTCAATACTCCTTCAAAAAGCATCCCAGGATGCAACATCACGGCTGCCAGCATTAGCATACATTTCACAGCTTCCTATGTTGGATAATCCTCATGCTAGCACCTCCACTAATGGCTTTCCCTGGAGTCTTGTAAAACCCCACATGCAGTCGGCTCCTATGTAAGCTGCATCTTTATGGACCATTTCTACACTATACAGTGAAAAGCGGAGGCGAAAAGCACTAAAACGCCTCATTTTTCATCCGGCAGTAGTGAATGATCTTCTCTGCTAACAGAGACGTAGCGCTGTGGTTTCTGAATGACAGCTGGCTGTTTAGAATCAAACCCCAGGGGATTTGATGTAATTTGAGGTAATAGAGCTTCACGGCGAAGTGCGGCAGGGTTATGACTAGCTCAGTGCTTACGTTAAACATGGCGGAATAACAGGACTAGCGGAGCGTTCTCTGAGAGGAGGGTTTGTTTGGGTGCAGGGTACAGAGCTTTCTTTGCTCTGTAATTCAGTGTTGTGTGAGGAGGAAGGCTCTCTTTTGCTCTTCTCCAGCCTCTGTTCGGGAATCTGTCATCTCCACAGGAACATTTTAGTCTCCAGCAAACGCAGCGTCAGGCTGTCTGAACTGCTGCAGTGTGGAATGCACAAGAATAACAAAAAACATCTTACATTTACTGAAGAAAATGTGTCTGCAGTGTCATTGGGGTTTGCCTGTTGAATTGAACTGCGTATGCCATTCGTAAAAAAAAACAAAAACACGTAATGTGTATAAATAAGTATAACTGAACTTTTGCATAGGGTATAGGCTATTCTGACAGGTTAACCAGCTAACAGAATGCTAAGCTAGAACTAGAATGGTATAATCAAACATTTATGTTGAGGATAGGCTAAGCTAACCGATTAATCGGCTAACGGAATGCTAAGCTAGTATTGAGTAGTATAATTTAGGGGTGGGGGGAAAAAAATCGATTCTTAGATGCATCGACGTGGACGATTCTGAATCGATTCACAAATGTCAAAAATCGATTTTCTATTTCTGAATGTTAATTGATAACATGATGTTGACGGAACGGAGCTCTAACCCCTTATTTACACTGCACGCGTCTGCGGCGCGTTATGGCTCCGACAAGGTTTTGTTCCGTTCTCTATGCGTTGCCAACTCACAGTGTTAAGGCCCTTTCACACGGGACGCGGCAAGCGGTGGAATCGCTGCGCGGCTGCCGCTTTCTCTCGTAGTGAAAGTGTTTTGTGCAGTTGCAGGCGGTGCTTCAGAAACGTGCTGCGGCGCAGATGGTGTAAACACAAGCATTGACTAGAGTGGCCGCGATCAGCTCCGATGGCCACGTCGGAGCCGTAACGCGCCGCAGACGTGTGCTGTAAAGGTGTAACAGATGCATGATGGCGGAGTGTCAAATCAGACCAGCACCGTCTGCGCTAAAAGCTAGAGTATGGAAGCACTTTGGCTTCTGGCTGGAGGGGGAAAGACCCTGGACAGGAGCAACACTATATGCAAGTTGTGTCAAGCCAAACTAAAATATTGTGGAAACACAACAAGTATGAGAAACCATATTACAGTAGTAATATACGAGTAGTATAATTGTGTTGGGTATGAGCTAAGCTAACAGATTAATCGGCTAACGGAATGCTAAGCTAGTATGTCGAGTAGTATAATTGAACGTGTTGGGTATGAGCTAAGCTAACAGATTAATCGGCTAACGGAATGCTAAGCTAGTATGTCGAGTAGTATAATTGAACGTGTTGGGTATGAGCTAAGCTAACAGATTAATCGGCTAACGGAATGCTAAGCTAGTATGCTGAGTAGTATAATTGAACGTGTTGGGTATGAGCTAAGCTAACAGATTAATCGGCTAACGGAATGCTAAGCTAGTATGCTGAGTAGTATAATTGAATGTGTTGGGTATGAGCTAAGCTATCAGATTAATCGGCTAACGGAATGCTAAGCTAGTATGTCGAGTAGTATAATTGAACATTTGTGTTGGGTACAAGCTTAGCTAGCAGATTAATTGGCTAACGGATTGCTAAACTAAAACAATTTAATATTATAACTAAACATTTATGTAGGCTTAGTAGTTAGCTCATATCTTGCAAAACATGAGATTAATCTAAAAGCACAAATAACAAGAAATGTTTATTTTTACAATCTATAACTACTCCTGCCATAACTATTTACTTAGGGTATATATAGGCAAAGTTAGCAGGTTAATCAGGTAGCAGAATGCTAATCTAGCACATTGAACAGTATAATTGAACATTTATGTAGGCTGAGTTTAGAGCTCTTTACTTTACTAAACAAATTTAAGGTAGTCATTATGTCAAGTCACCATTATTTATATAGCGCTTTTAACAATACAGATTGTCAAAGCAGCTTTACAGTATTAAATAGGTAAAATAGTGTGTAATAATGCAAAACCGTAAACACTCAATTTTCAGTTAAAGTCAGTTCATTCTCCGTCTCAGCGCTGTGTTAATTCAGTCGGAAAGCGCAGTCGTTGCAGCTGCTGGCGGGAGGAGCGGAGAGCTGCAGCAAGCTGATTGGCTGTGGCGCTCTGGCGGTTGGCACGGCAATGGGAGCGTGCGTCACGGCGACGCAGAGGGGCGTGGTCCGGTGGCCAGCATCACCGCTCTCACACCACAGCGTGCCAATATTTGTGCAGCAACAGATCCAGCTGTGCTTCTAAAGGGCATTTTCAAATCACACCACAATACAACACAAAACTCAATTTAGAGGCTCATTAAGAGTGTGAAGCGTCCGCTGTTCTCCAGCCGCTCTCTCTCTGTTCAGCTGCAGACGAGACTTTAAAAACTCGAACAGCAGCCGCTCAGTGGAGCCTTCAGTGCTTCATCAAGCCTAACGTCCTTAAATTCACTCTGACACAGCGCTGCGCTCTCTAACTGCTGTAAGTGCACACTGTGAATGAGAAAGATTGCATAAATATTGATGTGTGTGGGTCATCTGAACTAAACTGGACCGTTTAATGCATCTACAGCTACAGGTTTGATGCTGCTGTGCTGATCGCCCAAAATATCTGTCATAGAAATAAAATCTGTGCCTTTTCCTGAATTTAATTTTTTTATAAATATGTGGCATTTGCTATTTGCAAAAATAAATAAATACTAGTGCTGTCAAATGATTAATCTCATCCAAAATAAAAGTTTTTGTTTACATAATATATGTGTGTGTTCTGTGTATATTTATTATGTATATATAAATACACACACATGCATGTATATATCTAATAAAAATATGTTGTGTATATTAAATATATTTATATATAATATAAATTATATAAATATGTACCATCTGTGCCATAGAAAAAAATCGTAAGAAGTTATTTCAAATGCAAACTTTGTGTTCATGTTGCTTATATATGGTTTTAACATAAATTATTCATTCATAATATTTCATTATGACTTTTGAGAAGTCAATCCACGTGACATTTTACAACATGACATTAAAGTCAAATTATTTGATTATATGGTAAAACATTTTCAAATAATGTATATTTAATTGAAAAAAAGCTGCTTTATTGCTTTTTCTTTCTAAAAAATAATAAAATATTATGTAAAAGATTGCTTACAGCAAAACTTATTTTATTTTAAATAAAGTTTATTAATGAGTTTTTTTTTCTGATATCAGGACAGTTGTTTCACCAGATATTTTTTTAAAAAGAATTCAATATAACATTCTCTTTCTTCGCAGCCGAGTGCTAAAGTCAGTCAGGACACTCTGAATGAGCTGCTCCGGCCCAGTGTGGATTACGTGCGGCACAAGAAGTTCCGCTCGGGCAATTACCCATCATCCCTCAGCAACGAGACGGACAGACTGGTGCACTGGTGTCACGGAGCTCCTGGAGTGCTGCATATGCTCATCATGACTCATAAAGTCTCAATACACATGCAAGAGTTACAGCAGAAGCTGCACTTCTACACATTGCCTCTGTTTTTCATAAATACAAATATCCTGTTATGTTCCTTTATGATATTGAAAAACCAGCTCATTCTCTGTCTTTGCTCTCTGTGTCTGGCGTCTGTCTGCTGTTCATTCTTAAGGTCATGTTTGTTCTGTGTTTATTTCTTCATACAGCAGCCCACACTGCCATCTAGTGCTCACTCACAGAGTCACGTTTTTGTTCATCACAACCTTATTTTTTATCAGGCATCATAGTGATATTTTAAAAATGTTACAAATTTGATTTGTTTTTGGTCACATATTTAAATGTGTAGTCAGATAGAATTAGAAATTAATATTTATTATTCTGTGCACTTTTAATGAGTTTATTTTCTCCCTCCATCACTGTAGAATGATCATTTGGGTCGTTAAAAAAAAAAAAAAAACTCTTTTCCCTTTTAAACTTGCACTCTATTCATTTGCTGTTTGTTTTCTTGTTTTCTTTTCATTTATTATACAATTAACAAAAGCAAAAAAGGCCTCTAACACTAGCTTGGTCTGTTCTTTTTCTATTCTATCTGTTTTCTTTTTATTTATTATATTATTTAAAAAACCTTGCTATGTGTACTGCGTTACGCTAACTGAGACTTGTTATAGCACTTGTGTATCATTGCTCTTTTGTTGGTTTTGATTGCTTCTCTTGTCCTCATTTGTAAGTCGCTTTGGATAAAAGCATCTGCTAAATGACTAAATGTAAATGTAAATGTGTTTCTCTCTGTCTCTCTCTCGTTCTGTGTTCGTCTGTGTCTTTATCTCTGTCTGGTGGGTCGCCTGAGGAAAATTGAGCATGTGTTATATTTGGAAAGTGAATTTTTCTTTGAGCAACTTTTACACCAGAGCTCTGACAAATGAAGACAGACGGCAGGACCTGCTTTTACACACACACACACACACACACACACTCACTCACTCACTCACTCTCTCTCTCACACACACACAAACGCACCCACACACGCACTCACTCACACACACACACTCTCACACACACTCTCACACTCTCTCTCTCTCTCTCTCTCACACACACACACACACACACACACACAAGGGTTATGAGAGTAAATATACACAGCAGGACACAGTCTGCAATTACTGCATTTGACTGTAATGATGTAATTACTATAATTGGGTCATAATGAGCCTGATTGGTCATTGGTTCTCAGCAGAGATCAGAGCGCTGTGACTGCAGGAGTGTAATGCGTGTGTTGTGTTTCAGGTCTTCAGGGATGAGAAGTACCTGCGAGACGCGGCTGAGTGTGGAGAGGTGATCTGGCAGAGAGGGTTACTGAGGAAGGGTTATGGACTCTGTCACGGCACGGCTGGGAACGGATACGCCTTGCTCTCGCTCTACCACGCCACACAGGACAAGAAATACCTGTATCGTGCCTGCAAGGTACAGCGCCACACTCCCTCACTGCTCGAGAACACAAGCAGCACAGCCCTGCGTACAGTAGATGTACAGTAGATACAGTCGTGTTCATCATCTCTGCCGCTTGTCTGCAATTACTGCATTTGACTGTAATGATGTAATTACTATAATTGGGTCATAATGAGCCTGATTGGTCATTGGTTCTCAGCAGAGATCAGAGTGCTGTGACTGCAGGAGTGTAATGCGTGTGTTGTGTTTCAGGTCTTCAGGGATGAGAAGTACCTGCGAGACGCGGCTGAGTGTGGAGAGGTGATCTGGCAGAGAGGGTTACTGAGGAAGGGTTATGGACTCTGTCACGGCACGGCTGGGAACGGATACGCCTTACTCTCGCTCTACCACGCCACACAGGACAAGAAATACCTGTATCGTGCCTGCAAGGTACAGCGCCACACTCCCTCACTGCTCGAGAACACAAGCAGCACAGCCCTGCGTACAGTAGATGTACAGTAGATACAGTCGTGTTCATCATCTCTGCCGCTTACAGCCACTTAAACCTGATGTCATAAAAACAAAGCAAGGTCTGCATGAGCCTTTCTAGAGAAACCGCACAGGTCACCTCTGATCCATCTGTGTATTTTTTAAATATTTTTATGTTTATTAAGGCTGTGAATCAGCCTTAATAATGCACGAAATAATTTAAAATTAAAGTACATCCAATTCACTAATTTTGTGATTGATATGTTAAATTTTAAAACAATTAAAAAAATAACAGCACCACCTTGTGCGTGTTCTGAGTTGATATCCTGTGTTTCAGAGCAGCTGAAGCTGTTTCTCATCAAAACACCCGACTGCTGCGTGAGCAAATGTGAGCCTGCAGCACAAAAGCAGTCTTAAGTCGCTGGGGTATATTTGTAGCAATAGCCAACAATACATTGTATGGAGCAAAATTATCAATGTTTCTTTTATGCCAAAAATCATTAGGATATTAAGTAAAGATCATGTTCCATGAAGATATTTAGTAAATCTCCTACCGTAAATATATCAGAACTTAATTTTTGATTAGTAATATGCATTGCTAAGAACTTCATTTGAACAACTTTAAAGATGATTTTCTCAATATTTAGATTTTTTTGCACCCTCGATTACAGACGATAAAGACGATTACAGTGACATACAAGAGTCAAGTTATTTTTGATGCGCAACCGAAGCGTGTAACGTTATGTGTGCCCTTGGCGCACTGATCACTAAAACATGTTTCTGCTTGAACACAGTTCAGTATATTGATGTAGTTGTCAAAATTAATGTACAGCGAGTGTTTTATAACGGATGCTCACCAAAGAGGCGTGTTTTGGAGAAGTTTGTGAGGATCAGTGGTGTTTATGTACATACGGGCATCACACGCTCCAAACACAGACACGATCGCCTGTTCTGACAACTTTTTAATCACTGTTAACTAATAACGTCAAGCCGCCTTCAGATCGCTGAGTCTCCACACATCCAGAATGTTTCCATTTTTCATTTGTATTTTGGTGTGTTTAGTGATTCTGAATGGATCCGTATTGTAGTTTATATGCAGTCCTTTGGCACCTCCCTGTGGTCTTGTTTGGTATGGCAGGTTGACTTGTGCTTATTTGTTAAAGTACATTATAATTGAGCTTTAGGTACTTTTATGCACTTTTAAGTAGTAATGAATGCCTGCAGTGACATTTTTGCAAAGTATGTTTGCAAAAAAAAAAGCACAGAATATTTAAATCTATCTTGAATTTGTTTTGTTTAAAAGTAATTAAATGGAATTGAAAAGTAATAACACGAGAATGCAAAAGTTTTTGTGAATAGAAAAGGTTGGGGTGATGGGGAGTAAAAAAGGTTGAGAACCACTGATTTAATCAATCTGATGATAAATTATGAATTTTAGAGTTAGGTGACATCTGTCTGTCTTTCTTGCTTTCTTTCTTTCTGATGCTTTTATGAGAAAATGAAGCAAAAATGGCCCTGTTAGAACAATTGATCCATGCTCTGCTCTCGTCTTTTTATTCTCTTTTGAGATTGTGAGGAACTAGACATGCTTTAGGGCTTTGCATGGGCAGGCACACTTTCCACACTTCACTTTTATGATAAAGCTTGTACTTTGTGTTCCAAATGATGATGTTTTTTTTAAATTAATTTTTTGTATTTGTTTCTAGTTTGCTGAATGGTGTCTAGACTACGGGACCCACGGCTGTCGTATTCCTGACCGGCCTTACTCCCTTTTTGAAGGTAAGTTGATCATCATGTGTCATCTTCAAATTGTACTCTTCAATATTCTCAAAAAGTAATGGGTTAAATTTAATTTAATTTAAATTTTACTCATTAAATGAATGAAATAATCATGTCTGCTGCTACAGAGCTTCATCTTCGGTTGTAACAAGGATTATTTTGTTTCTGGGGGAAATAAGAGACGCACAGATCACAGTTTTTATTATTTATTTAGTGTAGCTTATTTAAAACCGTTTATATTGTGTAATTATGTAGTCTATATAATCTTTTATATACAAAGGTTTGGGGTTGGTAAATAATAAAAAAATGTTTTAAAGTCTCTTCTGCTCACCAAGGCTGCATTAATTTGATCAAAAATACAGTAAAAACAGTAAAATTGTGAAATATTACAAATAGCTGTTTTTTATGTGAAATGTATGGAAATATAAATATTTTTAAATAGAAATAAAATAGAAATCTTTTGTCACATTATAAATGCATTTACTGACACTTTTGATCAATTTAATGCATCTTTGCTGAAAAGAAATATGAATTATATTAATTAAATTAAATTTAATCCTTCAAAAATAAATAAATAAAAATAATAATTTAAAAATTCAGAGTTTTAAATATGTATTTCTGTGGTAAGATTGTAATTTTCTTTGCAGCTTGCTGCCAAAACTTATTAAAGCAAGACATTTATTCATTAAAGATCTATTTAAGCTAAGAATAAGCAGTAGTATTGAGCTGTGGTTCTCATGTGAGCAATGTGGGTTTGAATCTGATTTGCAACATTTTCTAATCCTGTTTTACCTCTCTTCCTCTCTTCCTCATCGGCTCGGAACTCTGTTCTTTAGTAAACATCAAAAGCCAAAAATATTCAGCACATGTGCTTCAACGTGGGCAATACAAGTTCTAATCCGGCTCGCAACATTTCCTGATTCCTCTCTCTCCTTATATTTATCTGTCGTCTTCTTTCAACAATAAAAAGTGGCAAAAGACCAAAAATATAATAGCAGAAAGCCAAAATCCATTTGTTTTCACAACTTGATGGTGTTCATGTAACTCTACTTGAGGTTTTTGCTTGACCTTCTGTCCAATCATCTGAATCCCCGAGGTTCTCATCAGAGACCACATGCACACACTTACCCACTCGGCATCTATAGTGATTTATCTGCTGCTTTACCTTGCTGTTGTCATGGCAACCTGCTTCCTGCACTCAGATTCTCATTAAAAGTCACACTCTGATTGGCTGCTCGAGTCTGTAGTTAGCGGTCAGAGATGGTCCTGCATTCCCCTCGGCAGCTAACATGCCTTCACAAACAGACTGCTGCATATTAATCAGCATCATGCAGTGGTTTTATTATTCTAATCCAACTGGGCTTTTGGACTTGAAATGATGTCCACCCAAAAATGAAAGCTTGCAAAACATGTCCTCATCCTCAGGCCATCCAAGTTTGTTTCTTCATCAGGTTTGTAGAAATGTAGCACTGCATCAGTGTCTCAGCAATGGATGTTCTGCAGTGAATGGGTGCCGTCAGAATGAGAGTCCAAACAGCTGATAAAAACATCACAATAATCCACAAGTAATCCATAATAACTCTTCCTCCAGTGAAAAAGTGTTCTGGTGTGAATCAGGAGAGAAATCTGCACAGATCAAGCAGCGTTTAAACAGCTCTAAACAAATATGTGGCTGGATTTTGATGCGAGAGACAACAGCAGACGCACTTTTTCACTGGAGCAAGAGTTATTATGGATTATGGACTCGTATTTTAGTTAAAAACGTCTTAATGCTGGATTTGTCTCCGCTTTTGTCTTCTCCAGATGTTAACTGATGGACTGGAGTGCTGTGGATTACTTGTGGATTATTGTGATGTTTTTATCAGCTGTTTGGACTCTCATTCTGACGGCACCCATTCACTGCAGAGCATCCATTGCTGAGACACTGATGCAATGCTGCATTTCTACAAACCTGATGAAGAAACAAACTCATCCTGATCTGGGATGGCCAGAGGATGAGCACATTTACAACTGATGTTTATTTTTGGATAAAAAACTTTAATCTGATAGTCTCATGATATTATAAATATCAAACCTAACCAAATTGTTGTTGTCTTGTTGCTGTAGGTATGGCAGGAGCCATCCATTATCTCTCAGATGTCATCCAGCCTGAGGGTTCCTGGT